TAAAATTTGAATGTAATTTTAAAAATTTAGGGTGGGGGCGGTCCGGCTGGACCCCACTTGAATCCGCCACTGAAATTCATATCTTTATCGATTATAAAAATGGTAGGGCCTATATCTAACTCATTTAAATGTATTGAAGTTACCAGTGAAGATACCTTTAAGCGAGTAACTAAAACACTTTAAAAAATATAAGAACCAGAAAATTTTGCCTATTTCAAGCTCAAAATGCACACTTTTCAAAGATAGACAATTATTGTACAGCAGTACTGTATATTAGTACTGTACCGCATTATTATACGGTATTACGAGTCATTTGCACATGAGCGGTATACACAGATATATAGATTGGCTGGTTTTTTCTATTAAAAAAAATATAAACTTTCTTTGAAATTTTACCTCAGCATCAATTTATTTTTATTTTGTTCTAGTATTTTTTAAAGCAATTTCAGCCTCAGTGTTCTTATAATATGTGTTCTCATATAGGAGGCTTATATAAAAAAGTGTAAAACAATCGAGCGTGGGCTTATAAATTGTGTGAAAATACACTGCCCACACACTGGTTTGTTTTTATGATATGGAGTCTTAAACTGGGGGGATGTAGGCCTACTATATCCAAACAAGACGAAACACCCAGTAGTAGAACTGGCGACTATTTTAGTCAATTGAATTCATGCAGTCAGATCAAAGCAAAACTTATTTTTTTTTAAATATGGAAGATAAGCGCATCGTGGACCAAGGTTAATTCGAGCTGTTTTGCGCTTCAAGACTCACTAAGCTGGAAGTGGGTCTCCACAGTATAGTGTATCTGTACAGTAGTTACAAATGTTATTAATACCATGAGATTGCTCAATCCAAATTTACCTAGCTTATAATAAGGTTTTGGTTGTTATCATTAATTGGAGTTGTTGAAAATGACCCGGGAAAAATTTTAATGGTATTGGGTAGCCAAAATAATCTCTAAACAATAAAGTTATAGGCCTATACGTCTAAGAGATAGAAATCGTCCCAGTAATTAACTCCTGACCGCCCCCACCCCCATAATACGTAATAAAACACCCAAACGTGACCCCGCCCCTCAGACTATGCATGTTGATTGCCAATGATTCCCTCTGTCCGACAAAAAACAAATCTGGATACGGCACTGTAGTACGTCAGTGCATCGTATCATCTTGAAATTAAACACACATCAGGAGGACTTGACCAGAGAGAGGGGAATGCCCTTACTTCCTGACCATGGAAGAAAAAGAAATAAAAGAAAAAGAATGAAAATGACCCAGATGAGGGTGACCATGCATGGAGGTTATATATGGTTTAGTTTTTAATATTTATTTTATAATAATACATAATACACTGCCCTAAAATTTCGAGTATAATATGCCAGCTGGTTTGTGTAGCTATTTAAGCCATCAATGTCCGGAACATAAAATGTCTACAAGATACTGTATTGATCCGGTTTCTGTATGTCTCTTGTATTTGTGACATGTAATTGTTGTCTTTTGTACTGGGGCCTGTAGGAGAGCAGGAAATTTCCTATTGAACAGGTTTCCCCAGTAACAATAAATAAATAAGTAAATAAATAAATAAAAATAAAATTAATAAAGGACATATATTTTCTTGCGGAAAATTAGGCCTAATACGCCACTCAAGTCGTCGTAGCCTCTAGTAGACAGTCGTATTTCCGTTTTGACGTAAGAAGTGTTTAGACGTCTGGATTCTGTAAATATACGAAATGTTTAGCTTCCGGTATCGCGAACTAAATTATTGCTAGAATAGGAAGGGATTTCAAAGCTTTATTTTGATTAAATTTCCGATGTTTCGTGAACATTCAGTATGATTACAGTTGCGGATTTTATTACAGAGAGCCAAGATGACTTTAATTCTCCAACAACCTCAACATTTGTGTCTCGAATGGGGGACTGCCGCAACACATTGTCGATGTTGGAAGAGGTAAGTCTGTGCCCAACCCTTTTCACTTTCTGTGAGGCTGCTGTGTGGTTGGGTTAGCCGTACATACGGATGCTAGTAACTGTGCACGGTACGGGCCTACTTACTTGCAGAGTGATATATCTTGGAGACCCTGGATATTCTGCATTAAAATGGCACTGACTAATGTCCATTTTTTTTGCCCGTAATCCCATAATTTTGTTCAAGATTTTGTCCAATAATGAAACAGTCTCGCATCCGACCAACTGTTTGTGTGCTGTGAATTTATTTTATTGCAAATGACAATCAATGTATCTCTAGACTCTGCTGACTCCAATCAACAAACCTAAGAAAATGTTAATTTTATTTAAAGTTCAAATAAAGTACAGCAGTAGGCCTAGGTCTACTTCTGACATTACATGGTTGGCGCATCGGTTGTGGCTTGAACACAAGTTGAAAGCTGTCAGGTTTAAATCATTGTTTATGCATTTAAATTCTGTAAAACAATGATCAAAGTAAATGATAAAATGGATATATAACATGACCTTCAAATCATCATAATGTGCTCTAGAAATAAGTAGAGTAGCGCTACCGTAATGAAGAAATCGCTAGTGTTGTTGGGATTAAATTGGCAGAAAGCTAGTGATATCCATTAAAGTTGTTGTACATTTCACATGTTAACACTAAAAATATTATAGAATTAGGCCTTTATAGAGTTGATAACATAATGTACAGTTTTATTTTAATAGTGTGTAAAAACGTGACAGTATGGTAATCTAAAACATCTCGATCAGTACATTTAAGCAAGTTAACACTATCTCAGACGTTACAACGCATTGAACCTCAAAATTCAGGAGAAACTGGAGGTGCTCTGGTGAAGGTCACCCCTACCCCCATGCATTCTGCTCTTTTGAGGTGTCAGTAACACTCAAAAAGCAATTGTACGCCGACATAATGATAAAAGAAAAATTGACAATTGGTACCATTGAGTTATTAAAAGTCACTAAATTAGCTGTTTTCAGTATTTGAGGGTTTTTCTGAAAATTTGGGAGTATTTCACAAAATTCGGGAGACAGAATATTGCATTTCAATTTGGGAGACTCCCGATCAAATTGGGAGGGTTGGAACGTATTCTATCTCATCTAAGTGGTGTAATTATTTTGTAATATTCTCATTTAGTAGCCACCCTGTATCATGGGACATGTACTGTTGTTAATTTAACAAATGGTACTAATTACCAAGAAGACGTCATACTAGGCAGGCCAAAATTGCTCCTTAAGAAGTTTACAGTACACCCTGTGGTGGAGCCTTTTGAATAAAGGGCAATTATTATTAATGTATTGTATCACAAGCTTGAATTTTGCTCAGGCAACATACAGTAGGCCTACCATAATGTAATAGCAGAAATAATTGATTAGATTTTCATGAACATAAGCAAGTTTTAGTTATTACTTCTTTTTTGAAATAGGTAGTCTTACAGTAGTTCAGTTGCCATAGTCTTATATTTCTATGCTAATGCTAAGATATATTTAAAAAGTCTGTACAAATAACTGGAAAGCATACCGAGATTAGTGTGATATAAAGCCCTAAATATATCACTTTTAGGCCTAAACTATTACTATTAATACTATTCACTGGTTGCTGAATATTCTAGCAAAGAATGGCTATTAATATAGATTTTGCTACAACTGAACAATATGTTATAGTACAAAATTACAGATTTTACAGCAATTCTATGCTACATTAAATTACAAAATTACAAGCTAATTTAATATAAATTTCACCATACTGTAAATTTTAATTTAACAATGTACACGACAGTGTAAATATGTACTGTACATGTGTAAACAATCGTACATGTACTACAGTAGATGATTAGAAGGTCAAAAGGTGGGATTTTGTTGACTTTGATACCATGATGCCATAGACTGCAGGGTATAATCAATACCCGGTATTAAACTTTTCATCCTAAATATGTCTTTTACTGATTAGCTCTGCAAATGTTATTGGATGTAAAGTCGGCAAAGTGCATGTCTGTAGTGTGTACTTAGTGTCTGAATGACTTCTTTTACACAATTACCAATTCAGAAGATGTAAAGTATGCAGAATTTGCAGAATTAATTATTTGAAACAGTGGTGCGAAAATTTGATCAAGCATTGTACAGTATATTGTGTATCTGGCAAGTCAAGAAATGTCAGAGCACACCGATTTGGAATTAAGATATTAAATCAATTAATATGTGGATGTAAGTTTATTATGGTATTTATATGTGACGCTTTAATATAGATGCTACACAGCCAGGCTCCAATACAAACTGACATTTAAATACTCCAAAATAATAGTACTGTACCTTAAAGGGCTATAAAATTCACAGAGAATTCAAGTTAAATTATAGTAATTTAACAGACTATTGATATTGTTTGATAATTGTACAGTGAAGTGAGCCTTAGTGATCAATTACTTAAATGCATGGGGCCCCAACACTTTGTCATTCCCAGGCCCTGTTACTCGTCATTATCCCACTGTACTGTATGTGAGACCCTATCATGATTCTCGTCAGATCCTACCAATTTCATTACCCATTCGACTACCAAATTAACAAGTTGTTCCTACCGTTTAAAAAATAAAAATTGAATAAAAATGTTGCTATGAAATATTACCATTGGTATGAAATACTGTAATACAAGAGGAAAGACATGAACATGAACATTCATATCAAGTTATAAGTAAAATGATAGCTTAATTGAATTTTAATATGACAAAAATTATTAACAAATATGAAATAGAAGAACTATACATTGTAAACAATCATTGAAAGCATGTCTTTTGTATAGTAATGTGCTATAAATACAGACCAGTGGCCTGTATACAGTACTGCAGCTACATACAGTACTGTTTAAAATAGAATGCTTCCTTCAATTATTACATATTAACATGACCTCTGTAAAAACTGTGTCACCGTGCTTGTTCAAAGCCACCTTCAGTTCTTCCATGGTTTCACAATTTAATTGCTATTGACTACAAAGTGAAGAATTGTACATTGCTATTATTATACTGAATGATAAATATAAAATTGAATATTGTTAAGACACATTATTATTGTATTTTCTCTGCAAGTACAGTAAAAGAAGTCGAGTCAAGAGAAGGTACAGAATGTCAGAAACAGGAGAACAAGCAAGGGGACAGGAACCCCTTCCAATCTATTTTTAGCAGTTGACAGCCAAAGCAATGAAGGTTGGGGGGGGTGGGATGGCACTTACTACTGATCTTAGTTAATATTAATTAGCATTAATTGATTAGTAAATTATGATGTGATGGGTTCAGTCAAATATTGTTTGATAGTGCCTAAGATTGTCTCGTTTTAGAATCTAACTGTTTAGCCAGGCACTCACAGCGGTCGTACGACGACCCATAATTCCGCTATCTGTGAGTGCTAGACGATGCGATACCATCTGCTGATTATTGGTGGCAGTCTGAATGGATCATTATTAAAAGCGATCCGTTGCGCACACGTCATGCCGTTGCATTAGTGCATAGTATCGTGTCGGCCTTAACGATCGTCGGACGCAATTAGTGCTCGACATTACCCATAACCATTACCTATTAGTTGCTCATACCGAATGATCTACCTTACCATATCTAGTCAGTATCTACTAAACTGTACTTTATTTGTGTTATAATATTCGTAATTTTTTCAGGAAATGTGATTATTAATCATTATAATATTCACATCTTTACTATCTGACTCATTATATTTGTGAATAAGGGCATTTTAGTTGGTTATAAATGAAATTAGTTCATGCATTATGGAGTACTGTTCAAGTTTAGAAACCAATTTGATTCCATCTGATATTCCTTTCGCCCATACAAATAAAGATTAATTAAGTAATCAGCACAAAAAAGTAGGAAAAGTATCCAAATATTTTGCAAAAATTATATCCCTGTTCAAGGTCATATTATTTGGTAGCCAATAATAGATTGGTGTGCTGGTATTACTGTTGAACACATACATTAATGCCAGAGGTTTATGCCCTTCACATCGAAAATTATTTCTGTGTTGAGTATAAACTTTGAAATGCTGTAAATGACATGTTTTTTCCAATTGTCATTGAATTTTGAAATATTTATTGAATGTAAATTCACCAGCTGATCAGGAAATTACAGTATTTTAAAGTCAGACTCCGGAGGAAAAACAAATTTTTGATATATTCTAGAACTGATTTTTCTAAGTCAGAAAAAAGTTGTTTGACGAAAAACTGGAGAATGGTGAATGAGATACAGATTTTTGAATATTTAAAAACTGGGGGAAAAGAGGCGTAACTGCCCATTTTTACACCATTTTTCCCCAGTTTTTAAATATTCAAAAATCTGTATCTCATTTAACCGTTGCTCAGTTTTTGATCAAACTACTTTTTTCTGTCTTAGAAAAATCAGTTCTATAACATATCAAACATTTTTTTGATATGTATGAAGGAGAATTTAATTAGAAACTCTTTTTTAAATAGTCAGATGAGGTATGTGATAGTACTTTGCAATTTGAACAAAATATCCTTCTTTTACAATTGTCTTTGTGAATACTGTACATGATCTTTGTCTCTGAAGAACATATCTGTAATTGATGACGTACTCTATGTTCAATGTAATGGCTAACTATAACGCCTAAGGACACCATCTGACATTTAGTGTCATAAATGTTATGTTTGCCATTGATATCAATTTTACAAGTGTACAATTTCATTGTAGTTTAAAAATGTTGGAACTGATAATTATTTTATCAGTTGCAAAAAAAAAATAAAATGAAAATGAAAAAAACATTTGCATCCTTCCTGCTGCCTCAATAATTTTATTTTAATTCCTTTAGTTTGAGCATTGGCATGCAATCTTTCCTGGTCATTGAAAAATAATAATAATAATAATAATAATAATAATAATAATAATAATAATAATAATAATAATAAATAGTGATAAATTTTATATTCCTCAACTTTCACCTGTATCGATAAGATCCAGTGTTACAGTAGCATAACAACTTAATTTGTAAGGATATAATAGATTTTTTTTTTAACTTGGTCTAAGGATGAATTATTAATATTTTATTAACCTGGTCATTTTTAAAACCTATTTATTATCTAACATGTTGACATTTATAGATTTATAACTATTTATATTGACTTTTACGAAATTGTACTCTTTTTTACAATATTTTTATAAATAATAACCACAGTTTACCAACTATAGTTTCTGTTCATAAAAATATTTTGAACAGTAACTATACTACCATAAACATTATAATGCTTTGGGGCATTTATTACTCTAATTGTGAATAAAATCATATTAATACTGTAATGCTGTACATGTTCCTTGTGGTGGTATACAGTACAGGAAGCCCAGCTTTGGTAGGGTCTATAGGCCTACCTCCCTACTGTACTTTACATCTGATTTCATGTACCAGCATTTCCCCGGGCAAAACCCAGAGTACCATTTGAATAAGTAGTTCAGGTGATGTTTACAAAAAAAATCCCACGATGTTTCAGGTATGAGCCCACCCACAAAATGAGTCCAATTTTGTGTTCAAAGCATGGGCTTATGCTTGAGAAACTATGTTGATAATACAGTACAAAGCTAAGTGTAAACAAAGTAAAGAAATTGAAACGTCAAATATAATTCGTTTAAATTTGTAATATAAGCATAGATATTTATAAGTATGAGTAGTACATTTTCAAATAATGCAGATAATGTTGCGAACGAAACTAATGTGTTTCTGCGTTGTTTTCTATTTGTGGCCTCGTACTGTCCTCCCAACATATGGCCTGTTATTTCTCTCAATCCAGCAGAAAGTTATGTGCATACGGCGTGGAATTATTGATGAGCATCGGGCTAATATGCAATTACTCACTGTTTCATTTAATAATGCACAATGCTGCGTTCTGCACTCCAGTATTGAGGTTTCTGGTAATCTATGGTTTAGAATGGTGACGACAATGAGTAGGATATTGTACAGTAATAATGACAATGATAGTTGTTGAGGATAATGATGATTTGATGATAGAAATGATGATTAATGATTGGTATGTGATGATGATGATGACATACTAGTACTATCAGTATGAACGTGATATGATTAAAGATTTTCATATAATTAAAATATGATGATGATACTGTATATGATAATGAGATGATAATTAATATTATGATGGTGACATCATAATGATATTTACAGTAGTAGTGTAATATGATACAATGGAATGATGGTATTCAGTACAATGAAACTTAATACAACAGTAAATACAGTAACTGCACAAGATGTTAGTCTTTTAGTACACTTGAATAATGATGATGATGATGATGTTATAATTCTAGAAGTCCAAAGAAATAATAACTGCATTGTTTACAGGGGCGGATCCAGAGATGTTCAAAAGGGGGTGGGGGCGGAAGGGGGGCTGAATGCGGGACCGATCCAGATAACACTGCTGTGCGCTAGGGGGTCCAGGGTATGTCCCCACGAAATGTTTGTGTTATAGACACCTGAAAATAACCTCTGGCGTTTTACGATCAATCTTTTCTTTTTCTTTCTTCCTTTTTTTTTCTTATTTCTTTTTTCTCGCCCCTCCCCCCCCCCCCCAGATCCGCCACTGGTTTATCATTAGGGTTACTGTCTGTTAAGATTCTCAATTATAAAAATTAATTTTTGAATTAAACTATTTTTTAGAATGAATGATATGAAAATTAGAACAAACAAATATTTGTCTGGCTAATGACCAAGTGATTTGATAATACTCTATATTCATTAACTATTTAATGGACTAATTTGTTTTTTAAAATAAGGATTTTATAGTAAAAACTATAACTATAACTATCAGTCTCATTTTTAAAATCTTATTAAAGTTTTGAGGGTTCTTTAGATTTCCAAGTTTCAGTAATGATGCATTCATTAATATGAGCACATTGAAGTGCTGCTTCAAGGTTGAGACTCAGAGCTATTTAAAAACAGCTTATATTTCATTGGAAATCTTCAAATCACAGAACCTGTTTAATTGGTGCCAACATCCTGAATGAATCCTAAAATTCATTTAAATATCAAGGATTTAACACGTTGACTGCCAAGTCTTTTTTCCTAGTTTCATTCAATATGCCAATGCATAAATTGCGCCACCATAATGGAAATCATTTCCATCAACTGTAGTGAAACACAAACAAACATATGTTATTACTTCTGGGTCCTTCCCTGAACCTCTAGTATAGGGTGAGAGTTTGTGTCCTGGCAACCGCTGCCAGCGAGTTTACATACAATACAATAGTGGTGTGTTGGTAAGGTATGGACGTGAAGCCACATTCTTGGCACTGTGAGTGAACCCTGTCAAACGTGAACTCAAGTCCATGGCAGCAAACATGTTAATAAGAACCTAATTGAAGTTAAAATTTAGTAAAAGTATCAAATGTCAACTACATTTATGATGGGGCTATGGAAGTTTTAATAAAAGAACCTAACAGGATTAGAACCCAAGACCTTGGAATTGGATGGAAACCATCTTAACCACCAATATGGATGTTTTGAAAACCTAAATTTTATACTTTTGTGGAAATCTAGATTTATATCATATCCGAACCAAAATTTTGACCGTGTTTCCGAAGCGCTGAATTTCAGCGTTCTTATCCTTACGCACCGATTTGATTTCTAATTGGTTTGGTAAGCCTTCCAATCCAAAAATTTGGATTCGGTCTGAATGCATCTTATAGTGAATCTATCATTGCAACGATGACAGTAGAGATCACCTTCTTTTAACAATAGAAATGTTGTATAATGATATTTGATAGGAAGTTCAAAGGTACATTATTAGTACTACTATGAACTTTGGTTAGCCATTGTACAGTAAGTCCGGTTGTGACGGTTGTGACGAATTCTTAAGCTGTTTGTATCTTATCAGAAAACTTGCTGCAGTACTTGAAGGAGATACTGTGTCCAAAATGAAAATAGGAACTAAGTGAATGAAGTGCAATAATGCAAGTTCAGAATCCAAATTTCTTGAACAACATTGTTTGCTAACAATATTCTCTGTGCCAAATTCTGAGTGTACAATAGCAAAACAGGTTTAACTAGGACCATCATTTTTTGTTGGTCATAGGATGTATGGTTTAGGCACTACCTTTATTTTTTATAAGAACCAGCAAAATTTTGTCCAGCCTCTGTGTTCTATTTGACATGTTTTTCTAAGATAGAAAAAAATTATTATTATGTATATTACTATACTGTATAGGGTATTATTAACCTTTTGAACTTTTTCTAGTTTAAAAAAAATAAAAACTTCAATTGACCTTACTTCAGCCTCAATTTGTTCTTAGTTTGGTTTTATGTTTTAAGAAATATCAGCCTTGGTGTTCTTAAAAAATATGTTCATTGATATATAAAAAAGTGTATTATCATGTTCACTCAAAAACATGCTCACGAAAAACACATCTTCAACTTCCCTTTCTGAGTATTCCATATGTTACAGTACTTGTAATGTGCACATAACATTCAACCCACCAGTTACCCATTTCTAATTTTCCTGGATAGATTTTGCAACTAAAGTATCATAAAAGTTCCTAAAGTATCCAAGGATGCAAGCAAGTTATCATAGTGGGAATTGAACCCACGACCTTCAGGATAAATATTACTATAAATAACCTGCTGTTCCAACTGCTCCTATAGTGCTAACTTACAGATTAATAGGCATACAGTACAATAAAGTTATTCTTTTCATATTTCAGGCACTTGACACTGACAGGGGTTGCTTGACCAAGATGAAGAGATCTATAAGATCCATTCAAAGCAGTGGTAATGGTAAGATCTTTTTAATAGGTTGTTTTAATTCAATGCTAAAATTTGGTGAACAGACATACATGTGGCTACTTAATAGTGACTGTCCCTTTAAAAATCATTATTTTATTTTGAAAAAAATCTGCCCACATACATCCTACTTTAGCTATGATATGCCTTTTAAAACTGTTTATTCATTTGAATAAGTGTCCACGTTCATAAAAAATAACCCTTTAAATTGTTCACTCATGGATTAAATCTACCCACACATAATACTGTACATCCAAAATTGCTATGAAATGCCATATAATACTGTTCATGTTCATCAATAATTGCTGGAACATACCCCTTAATTGTTCATTCTTTCGGTTCAAATTGGCCCACATATTGTACAGTACATACAAAATTGCTATGAATTTCCTTTTTAAATAGTTCATTCATTTGAATAAGTGGCCATGTTCATAGAAATAACCCTTTATTTAAATTATTCACTCATGAATTACATCTGCCCACACATTAGTACATCCAAAATTGCTATGAAATGCCTTATAATACTGTTCATGTTCAGTAATAATTGCTGTATAATACTATTATCCCTATAGTTGTTCATTGTTGCAGATCAAATTGGCCTACACAGTACATACAAAATTATTGTGAATTAGGTTTTAAAATTGTTCACTTGAAACAAATGTGCCCATGTTTATTCAAATTTGCCATGAAATGCCCCTTTAAATCATTAATTCTTTTGGATAAAATCTGTTTCCATATACAGTAAAATTGCTATCAAATAACCTAATATATAAATCTATATCTCATTTGATTAAACAAGTTTCCATGTTCATCTGAATTGCTATGAAATGCCCCTTCAAACCATTCACTCTTTTTGGATCAAATTCACCCACATACAGTACATTTAAAATTTTCATTCAAATGTTCCTTTAAATTATTCACTCATTTAGATCAAATTTATCAGTGTCATCCAAAAATTCTTTTCAAGCAATCAATTCTACACAAAGTATTCCTTTAGTCAACTATTACTAATCCTACAATCCTGCTGTATTTTTGTTCATTTTAGAATGGAATGTTATTTCTTAAATATTTCGTTCTGACACGTATTCTGACAATTTAAAGAAGCTGGAGATTTATAATATCACAATCACATCGGCAAAAAGAATTTCTAATCGTGTATGTGACATTAAAGAAGAATTTTCACCATCTTAAAACTCCCATTAACAGTAAATGTTGCATTTTTTTTGGTAATATTTTATAAATTGTCTAAAATTTTCTTAAATTTTGTTGGACTGAATCATGGGGAGGGACACACAGGGGTGTACAATCGAATGATGTTTAAAGCGCTTTGAGACCATTTAGGTAAATTTAATAACATTACATTACAATTCATTAAAGTGTGTTTTTTTTTTTTAACTAGAAAAAATGATTAATATATTGGGGTAAAATCTACAATAACAGCATAATATAAGAATTGTTCAGTTTAAATTTAATTCTTCCATTGGTCATCTGGGGAATTGAGCCTTGTTCATAGCCAGCTCATTAGCAATTCCGAATTGCAAAAATCGGAGCAATTAAATCACTATGTTATTGAAGCAGAAACGATGAAAATAGTCTTGCTAATACATTCTAGGAGTTACCATTTTTTAAACAAATTTCTCTGTACTGTACACAGTACATCTCCCAACAATACATTTTTATAGACAGTTGCTCAGAAGGTTTTAATTTTGATAATATTGTTAACAGTGACATTCAAGCTTTGTTCCTAGTTTGAAGTGATGTTATCGTTGGTCATTGTGTTTAAATATAGATTTATTCATAGAGCTATTTGTCATGTTATCCTTCGGTTTAGAGTCATGATATTTCTCAGTCTTTGAATCAAATAAATATCATGCATTCATTCCATATTTGATGTTCAATAGTTTCTTGGGCCTTAGGGATAACTGATGATATATGTGAAAGCTTCAATTTATGATAAATGGAAGGATGAAATGGACAGAGAAGGGGTTAATAAACAGGAAATTCCCTGGGACTTAAGATTGTGAAAATACGTAAAACATATTTCAAAACAATTATCTACATTAAAATAAAAGAATTTTTGACATGGTACTTTTGTGTTAAAGTCTGGAAAACCCCTAAAAATCTACTTAATATTATAGTTTTAATCTTGCATTATTGTAAGTAATTTGCTAACTTTAATATGAGCAATTCAATCATTGTAGTTGCTTTTTGAGGAGTTTTTCAGATTGTATCAATTCTGCAATCTGGTTGAATCTTTAAATAGAAATAATTATAAATTGAAGAAATGTATGATAGATTATTGTTCTAAGGATAATATAGTTTAATAGAGCAAAATGAAAAAATTAGATATAAAAAACTAGATTGCAAAAATAATCATAAGCTGTACTATAAGTAATAATTAAACTCATTTATTATAAGAAATTCAAAGCATGGTATAAAGCATATTTATGGTGTACTAGTACAAGTATGAGTATAAAATAACACAGTGATATTAACTTATTATTTCTTTGTTTATTAAATCTTAGAACATGTGACTGATATGATGACATTATCAGAGACACTAGAGAAATTAGGGGCAAATGCATTCTCAAAAGAAAAGGAACCAGAGCTAGGCACAGCATTCCTCAAGTTTTCCGTAATTATCAAGGAACTAGCAGCACTCATGAAGAATCTGGTATGTATTGTGTTGGGACGATGCAATCAAACAAAATAAAATTCAAATATTACAAAATAGGGCTGCTAAAATTATTACAAAGGTCGCAAGATATGATTCAAGTTCAGAAGCACTCACTAACTTAAACTGGAATAATTTAAACACCAAACTGTATCAAG